AAAAAAAAAAAAAAAAAAGAGAGAAGTCTGACTTGGCACTCCATGACCTACAAAATAAAAAGTACAAAGCCCTTCCCAACCTGACCTCTGACCTGCTTTTCCAGCTTCATTTTCTCTCCTTGGTTACATTTTACTGAAATATTAGGTTTCCCTGAATACAGTAGTCCCTTTATCTACAGCCTTGTTCTGAGGTTTCAGTTACCCTCAGTCCACCATGGCCCCAAATTATTAAATGGAAAATCCCAGAAATAAACAAATTCTCGAATCATCCCACTCTGTCCCCCAGAGGGACGTGATTCCTCCCTTTGTCCAGCACACCCACACTGTATAGGTTCCCTGCCTGTTAGTCACTTGGCAGCCATCTCGATTATCAAGCAGATCAACCGTAGTAGCACTGCAGTGCTTGTGTTCAAGAAACCCTTATTTCACTTAATAATGGTTTCAAAGCACATGACCTTGGCTCACTGCAACATCTGCTTCTGGGGTTAAAGCGATTCTTGTGCCTCAGTCTCCTGAGTAGCTGGGATTGCAGGTGCCCACTGCCATCATGTCTGGCTAATTTTTATACTCTTAGTAGAGACCAGGTTTCACCATGTTGGTCAGGCTGGTCTTGAACTCCTGACCTCAAGTGATCCACCTACCTCGGCCTCCCAGAGTGCTGGAATTACAGGTGTGAGCCACCATGCCCAGCCTTGAGGCTTCCTCTCTTAGCTTGTAGGTGGTTACTATCTCACGGTGTGCTCACTGCTTGCTCCATGACCTCTTCTTGTGCTCATGTGAGTGGGCAAGCTCTCTGGTGTCTCCTCTTATATGGACAGTAATCAATATTAGTTCGGGACTCCACCCTTATAGCCTTCCTTACTTTTAATTACTTCCTTGGAGGCCCCATCTCCAAACATAGCCACCCTGGGGGTTAGGGCTTCAACACATGAGTTTTGAGGGGGACACAAATATTTAGTCCATAACACAGATAAGGGAAAATGGAAAGAATTTGTTGCCAGCAGGCCTAACCTAAAAAAATGGCTACAAGAAGTTCTTGGCTGGGTTAGGTGGCTCATGCCTCTAATCCCAGCACTTTGGAGGCCAAGGTAAGAAAACTGAGCCCAGGAGTTTGAGACCACCATGGGCAACAAAGGGATACCCTGTCTCTACAAAACAATAAAAAATTAGCTGGATGTAGTGGTGCTCACCTGCAGTTCCAGCTTTACTTGGGAGGGTGACATGGAAGGGTCACTTGAGCCTAGAAGGTCAAGGCTGCAGTGAGCTCTGATTGTGCCACTGCACTCCAGTCTGGGTGTCAGAGTAAAATTAAGACCCTGTCAGCCCTCACCAAAAAAAAGGATGGAGGTTTTTTTTTTGAGATGCAGTTTTACTGTCATTGCTTATGCTGGAGTGCAACGGCACGATCTTGGCTCACTGCAACCTCCGCCTCCTGGGTTCAAGCAATTCTCCCACCTCAGACTCCTGAGTAGCTGGGATTACAGGTGCCTGTCACCATGCACAGCTAATTTTTGTATTTTTAGTGAAGACAACATTTCACCATGTTGGCCAGTCTGGTCTCAAACTCCTGACCTCAGGTGATCTACCTGTCTCGGGCTCCCAGAGTGCTGGGATTAAACACGTGAGCCATCATGCTTAGCCAAAAAGGAATCTTGGAACATCAGGAAAGAAGAAAGAATAAAGGAAAAAGTGAAAAAATAAAAAGAGTAAATATGATAGGCTTTCCTTCTCCTCTTGAATTTTCCAAATTATGTCTGCCATTTAAAGCAAAAAATAGTAACACTGTCTGAAGTGGTTCTCACTGTACATAGCAGAAATATCTCAGACAACTATATGATCAGCAGGGGAGGGTAAAGGGACTATAAAGAAAGGTAAGTCTTCTACAGGCTGCTAACCTGGTAAAATGGTAACTTTTTAGAATGTAGTAAGTTACATGTGTTTATCCATCTACAGCATAATATCTAGAGCAACCACCTAAAAAATCTACACAAAGAGATACACTCAAAAAAAAAAAAAATACTACAGGTAAAACAAAATGAAATTCTAAAAAATGCTCAAATAACCCATAGGGAGGCAAGAAAAAGAAAGCAAAACCAGCAAACAGAACACTAGACACACTATAGCAGGTTTACACCTCAGTGTATCAGTGATTATATGAAATGCAAATCTTCTAAATACACTAATTAAAAGACATGTATAGGCAGAGTGGATAATTTTATTTTTATTTTTTGAGACAGAGTCTTGCTCTGTTGCCCAGGCTGGAGTGCAGTGGTGCGATCTTGGCTCACTGCAACCTCTGCCTCCCAGGTTCAAGCAAATTCTCCTGCCTCAGCATCCTGAGTCACTGAAACTACTGGCGTGTGCCACCATGCTCGGCTAATTTTTGTATTTTTAGTAGAGGGAGGGTTTCACCATGTTGGTGAGGCTGTCTCCAACTCTTGGCCTCAAGTGATCTGTCTGCCTGGGCCTCCCAAAGTTCTGGCATTACAGGCGTGAGCCACTGTGCCCAGCATGGGTAAAAAATTTGACCCAGCTGTATGCTGTCTACCACATGACCCAGAAATCACAACCCTGGGCATTTATCCCAGAGGTATGGACATTTATGTTCATATAAAAACCTGTTCACAAATGTTCATAGCAGCTTTATTTGTAATAGTCCCAAACCAGAAACAACCAAAATATCCTCTACCAGGTGAATGTGTAAATAAACAGTGATAAACCTATACTAAAAAATGCTATTCAGCAACAAAGGAATAAATGATATGGGCAACAACTAGATGGATCTCAAGGGCAAAAATGCTGAATGAGAAAGGCCATTTCCAAAAGGTCACATACTGTATGATTCTGTCAGAGGCATTTGAACCAGAGCAACTCCATCTTTAATAGGAGCTGAGTAAAATAAGGCTGAAACCTTCTGGGCTGCATTCCCAGATGGCTAAGGCTTTTTAAGTCACGGGATGAGACAGGAGGTCAACACAAGACACAGGTCATAAAGACCTTGCAGATAAAACAGGTTGCAGTAAGGAAACCAGCCAAACCCCACCAAAACCAAGACGGCCACGAGAGTGACCTCTGGTCATCCTCACTGCTACACTCCCGCCAGCGCCATGACAGTTTACAGATGCCATGGCAACGTCAGGAAGTTGCCCTATATGGTCTAAAAAGGGGAGGCATGAATAATTCACCTGTGTTTAGCATATCATCAACAAATAACCATTAAGATGGGCAACCAGCAGCTCTCAGTGCTGCTCTGCCTAGGGAGGAGCCATGCTTCAGTCCTTTACTTTCCTAATCAACCTGCTTTCACTTTACAGATTTGCCCTGAATTCTTCCTTGCACAAGATCCAAGAAAACCTCTCTTGGGGTCTGGATCGGTATCCCTGCCTGGTAACAACTAAATTTATAGAACATTCCCCAAACAATAAAATGATAGTGACAAGAAACAGATAAGTGATTGCCAGTTGTTAGGAAGGATGTCATACTGTGATTTCTACTGAGAAACGCATACAGCTGTCCCTCAGTATCCGTGGGGAACTGGATATAGGACCCCTGGAAATACTGAAACTGCCTTTGCAAAAATTATTTCAGGGAGAAAATTATGACAGTGAAAGAGATCTGAGTTAACATACCATCCTATCTTGCCTTTCCCTTAATTATTCTTGGGCTACTGTGTGGAGCTAACTTTGAGAAACATTTAGGCTATACTTCAAAGGATAACAGGCCTTGCCCAAAACACAATTACTTTTGTGAAGTGAATGAAAGTTCATCTAGGCTGGGCGAGGTGGCTCATGCCCATAATTCCAGCACTTTGGGAGGCCAAGGTGGGTAGAACATAAGGTCAGGAGTTGGAGACCAGCCTGGCCAATGTGGTGAAACCCCATCTCTACTAAAAATACAAAAATTAGCAGGGCATGGTGGCGCGTGCCTGCAATACCAGCTATTCAGAAGGATGAGGCAGGAGAATCGCTTGAACCTGGGAGATGGAGGTTGCAGTAAGCCTAGATCACGTCATTGCACTCCAGCCTGAGCAACAGAGCAAGACTCCATATAAAAAAAAAAAAAAAAAGGAAAGAAAGAAAGTTCATCAAGCTGGGGGAGGACAGGAAACCTGATTCTAAAGAGGTGTAGGGACACATACCTGAAGGAAGGGCTGCCATTCCACCACTGTTGCAGATTGACCTTTTGAGATATCTTTTCAGGATTTTATACATGTCTGACATGCACGGCTCCACCTGGACCTGCGAACCCCCTCGCCTGTAGCCTCGCCCAGAAGCAACTCAGTGCACAGGAGGAAAGTGCTGACCCCTTTTCATTTTATTTTGTTTTTGTTTTTTTTTTGAGATGGAGTCTCGCTTTGTTGCCCAAGCTGGAGGGCAGTGGTGCAATCTCAGCTCACTGCAACCTCTGTCTCAAAATCTTGAGTTCCTTGAAAAACTAAAAATAGAGCTACCATATGATACAGCAATCCCACTGCTGGGTATACGCCCAAGAGGAAGGAAATCAGTATATGGAAGAGTTATTTGCACTCCTTGCTTGCTGCAGCATTGTTCACAATAGCCAAGATTTGGAAGCTACCTAGGTGTTCATCAACAGATGAATGAAGAAATGATACATATACACAATGGAGTACTACTCAGCCATAAAAAAGAATGAGATTCAGCCATTTACAACAACCTGGATGGAACTGGAGATCATTATGGTAAGTGAAGTAAGTCAGGCACAAAAAGACAAACTTCGCATGTTCTCACTTATCTGTGGGAGCTAAAAATCAAAACAACTGAACTTATAAAGATAGAGTAGAAAGATGGTTAGCAGAGGCTGGGAAGGATAGCAAAGGTGGGGCAGAAGCGGGGATAGGTAATGAGCACAAAAATAGAATGAGTAAGATTTAGTATTTGATAGCACAACAGTGACTATCGTCAATAATTTATACATTTTTAAATAACTAAAAGAATATAATTGTTTATAACACAAAGGATAAATGCTTGCAGGGATGGATACCCCATTACCCTATTTTGCACTGCATGTCTGTATCACAATATCTCACATACCCGCATAAGTAAATATACCTACTCGTATCTCAGAATCACCTGGGAATCTTCAAAACAAAGAAACAAATTACAATTCCTAAACCCCACCACAGATCTTTACCTTATTGATTCTACACTGTAAGTCCAGAAAGAGAGTAGATAAATGAAAAAAGATCCTGTTCTCTCAAAGATTCTCTAACAGCTTATAACACTGAATTGTAGAGAGAATAAATATCTAAAGTGCTGTGTAAATATTGCTGAGCTGTAGTGAAAACAAACGGTCATTATTTGGTTGCCAATCTAAGGAAGTTTTTAAAGAATATTTCTAGCATCCAAATTTACAAGTTCAATCTTTACAGTGTTGGTATCTAAAAATCAACCACTTTTTAATAAACTATTATGAAACAAGCTTTAAACATAAAGCAAAATCCATATTGAAACAGGAATAGAACGTAAACATAATGTTTTTACAAATGTTCAGGCAAGTTGTGTCATGAATGCTAATTATTGCCACTGAACTCAACACCTACTAGGATCAGCTTTTTGTATGAAGTTCCCAAACAGTTATTATTCTAGAGGATTATGGCAGAGGCTGCTGGGAATATTGTTTGCCCGTACTGAAAGGTTCACAGTACGCTGTTAAAAGTCCCACCTTTCCCCCCAGAATCTTTGCTTTCCTTCTTTTCAGCTCTACTCTTTTCTTCCTCAATGTGCTGAATAGCAGACATCTGAAAGATGAGAGGGGAGACATTGAGAAGGAAGGCCTCTGGATACAGAGCAAAACAAATGAGAACTAGCTGCTCCAATTCCCTAATCTGTACTTCCCAATTCATGCAAATGACAAATTGTTAGAATAAGAGATGGCTGGAAACCAGAATGAAGGTCCTGTGTAAATAAGTGAGGGTTTGTCAGCCCAGGGGGTTCTGAGTGCTAAGAGGCAATGGTTTAACAAGTCACCCACAGAAAGAGCTGGCTGCTCCCTCTGCTGGCAAAGTCAGTCCCTATCTGGTAAATTATGGCTTGGTAACTCATAAGTGAGTTAATCATTTAATGTTCATTATGAGTTAACTTCGAGTTAGTTTAACTCAAGTCAACCAACTCAAGTGAGTTAAATGATCAACTCATTTAATGTTCAGATTAAATATTATCAAGTAAATTTCTTAGACTACTGCCTGACACATGGTAGATAATCACGTTAGCTATAATGATTAGTATTCTAACAAAGGGTGGAACAGCCGGGCAAGGTGGCTCACGCCTGTAATCCCAGCACTTTGGGAGGCTGAGAAGGGTGGATCACCTGAAGTCAGCTGTTCAAGACCAACCTGGCCAACAAGGTAAAACCTTGTCTCTTAAAAAAAAAAAAAAAAAAAAGGGAGGGGGTGGACTGAGTGAAAGAAGCAAAACACAAAAAAGAATACACTCTCCATCCCAAAGTTAACCTGAAAACTTTGGAACCTTGTGGGGGTGGTAAGACATACCTCATTATTCCCTCCTCCCTTTTGGAATTCAGGCCCAGCTGACCAGCATTAACATTAAAACAGATCTTAAGACTGACAATGCAGACTTTGATTGTAGCAATAAGATACCAAATTCCAGCAGGACTCTAGTATGACATCACATGACACATAGTAAGGCCTGAAAGTGAACTATTTTACCCCAAATTATGTTTCTTTGCCGTATCTTGTAATAGTCCTGCAAAGCTACCTCTTGTAGGGAAAATCTACATTCTGAAAAGAATCCCCTTCCTTTTCTAGGCCTTTTTCCTGATTCAGGAGAGAATCAACTCTGATAAGAAACATTTGAAATTTATTCTCTCAATAACCAGGAGGCTTCCTCTGCATAAGGGGAGTCTTGGTCTCCCCAACCCCTTATCCTAAGGCAGACATTCCCTTTTTTTTTTTTTTTTTTTTTTTTTTTTTTTTTTTTTTTTTTTTTTTTTTTTTTTTTTTTTTTTTTTTTTTTTTTGAGATGGAGTCTAGCTCTGATGTCCAGGCTGGAGTACAGTGGCATGATCTCAGCTCACTGCAACCTCTGCCTCGCAGGTTTGAGTGACTTTCCTGCCTCAGCCTCCCAAGTAGCTGGGATTACAGGCTCCCACCTCAGTACCTGGTTAATTTTTATTTTATTTTTAGTAGAGATGGGGTTTTGCCTATTGGCCAGGCTGGTCTCAAAATGCTGACCTCAGGTGATCTGCCCGCCTTGACCTCCCAAAGTCCTGGGATTACAGGTGTGAGTCACCGTGCTCAACAACCTTCTATCAATTCCCTCTGCAGCCATGAGTCCTTGTATAATCCAGACATTCCCTTCTATGGGTTCTAGGTCTTTAGACAAAACTTTAAACCAATTGTCATCAGAAAATCTTTGAATCTACCTATGACCTGGAAGCCACCCTCCCGCCCAGTAGTCCCACGTTTCCAGATGGAACCAATGTACATCTTACATGTACTGATAGACGTCTTTTGTCTCCCTAAAACGTATAAAACAAGCTGTAGCCCAACCACCTTGGGCACAAGTTCTCAGGATTTCCCAAGAGCTGTATCACAGGCAATTGGTCACTCATATTTGGCTCAGAATAAATCTCTCCAAGTATTCTAGCATTTGACTCTTTTCATCAAAGGTGAAAAATAAAATACTGTTTCTTNCATATGTGGTGTCACCCCAAAGTTCATTGGATTCCCCAACACTTTACATAGGTTTTATTTATTCTGAGGGAGGAGCTTGACCGGACTGACATTATTTACTAGCCGAAAGGCACATTTACCTGCGTTGAACTCGGGATTGTCTTCCAGCGTGACCACAGCTCCCTCCACAGCGTCCACGGCGCTCCCGCCCTCCCGGAGGATGCAGTAGCCCACGGTGGCTGCTCTGACGATGCCCTGGCGCAATCTCTCCTTCACATCCTCGGAGACTGGGCCAGCTCCGCCGTGGACCACCAAGACGGGATTCATGTCGGCGGATCCTAGGCAGCAGGAAAACGAAAGCGTCGTCCAAAGCCAGCCCGAGGAAGCCGCGGGGACACAAGGTCCTGGGGAGATCTCGCTGGGACAGCGCCCAGTCACTATTTAGGGAGGTCGGGTTGACAGCGGTCGGTGGGAAGGGGCGGCTCGGTCGAGCTTGGTACAAAGAGCCCAGGGGGCCCCGCGCTCTTCCGCGTTCCTCTCCGCCCCGGCCCGGACCTGCTGGGGCCTCAGTTTCCCCGGGGACGTTGCCCCGCGCCCACCGCCGCCCGCTTCAAGCCCCGACACAGAGGGAGGATATATATTTCGCCTTCCGGAAAATGTCTATTTTCGTTCGTCCTCCCCAGTCTCGCAAGGCTGCTCCGGGAGGACCGCGGGCTTACTGAGGGCACCGCGGGAGGCGGACGCCGAAGTCTCAGGGTGGGTGTAGCGCTCCCCGCAGCCGGCCAGTCCCGCGGCTCAGCGGAGCCGGCTGGAAACTGCTCAGCCGGCATCTGCTCCCTCCGCCTCCGCTGTGCGCCTGCGCACGAGGGCGGGGCCGCCGCACCGCCCGACTCCCGGAAAGCCCCGACGCCCGGAAAGCCCCGACGCCCGCTCAGGGCGCACCAGTCTCACCGCTCTCGGGAGTCTCGGCTTCTGGCCCGTGTGAGCTTCCTAGTGGCATGATGGGACCTTCTTCCTCCTGACGAGGCTGGGAGCTGGGTGGTTGGATTGGTGGTGAGAAGCGTGAAGTGGCGTCCCACGATTTTGTAATTGCAAATTGAAAAGCAACGCTGGGCCGGCGCAGTGGCTCACACCTGTAATCCCGGCACTTTGGGAGGCCGAGGCAGGCGGATCACCTGAGGTCAGGAGTTCGAGACCAGCCTGACCAACACGGAGAAGACTGTCTCTTCTGTTGGAAATGAGAGTTCGGAGTCACAAAGGAAATGAGCACTGGAACAAAAGATCTCTCAGCAAAGCAAATTTACCTCTGCAGAAGGGTGCTGCTGCTCACACCTGGGGTGGTCGCAAGAGCACAAGAAGAAAAGGAAGAACAGGGGTTTTTATTCTTAACTGCAGTTTGTCCCTGTTACTGTGTCCTGTCTCCATTGGCTGGAGTTGGACTGCGCAATCTAAACTAAACCCGATTGGCTAATTTGAAGAGTGCAGGGGCGTGGGCTACAATGGTAGGAAGGGTAGTTTTAGACAGGAAGAGTCCTTACCGCAGGAGTGATAGTTTACAGAACGGCAACAGATGTGGGTTGCAGATTTGGGCCATAGTGAAAGTTGCTTACTGGAACCAGGGGAAGGGAGGCACAAAGAAGAAGGAAGTTTGGCCTTGAAAGTAGAGAACAAAGAATAAAGAAACTAAGCAAACCAAACCTTTGAAGACGAACTTCTTTTTGTATATGTCGATTAAACCCTTTTAATTTTTATAATTCCTCTTCTTTAAACCTTTTTAACATGTCTTGACTTTGTTGTTCTGTTTGGTCTTCTAAAAGAAAATGCCCATTAATAGGGAGAAGGGTAATTGAGGGAGTTTTTGGTGAGAGCTGTTTCCATAAGCCTTCGTATTAATCCTTGGGCACAGGGTATGATACAGCATCCTATGAGAATAAGTACACCTATGACAATTGTGAGAAAGTTAACATTGAGGACATGAGCCCTTTCCATTTACTGAATCACCTTTCCATAAAACTTGTGAAGGGATCATTTATTCTGGAATTTTTGGCTAGTTCATTTGATAAGAAGGTGAGGTTTGTGAATCTTTGGTAATTGTTGCATCAGGGACTGTGTTGTTAGGGACAAATGTACAGCATTGGATTCCAATCATGACACAGACTGCCGCTTTTTCTGCTAACATCATGTCAAGGGCCATTCTATTTTTCCAGGTTATTTGGCTGGTGGGGCCTAATTGTTCAGCTATCACCTTCATAGCATCTCTAGTGTAATTGACAAATGGCTGTTTATAGTTTATCCAATCTACATTTTTACTTACAGTTGACCACCAGAATCGTGCAGACTTGAATCCTGTAGCTATTTGATTTCGAGTCTTAAATTTATCCGGTACTCCTAGTGGAATTCCAATAGCATCTATATAAATGTGAGGGTCAAAAGATCCGGGTGGAGCGCTTCTGTTCACCCAGTTTTGACATTCTTGCCTGCTGTGTTAGCGGAATGCCAGGGTGAAAGGGATGGCCAATTGGACTAGAGCGAAAGTGCCGCTCCAGTTACTTAGCAGATAACTCAATAGTAGCTTTCCGCAATATCACCATACCTCTGCTCGGGTGTGAACAACAGCAGCTTGACTGGTAAGCTCCTGAAAGGCTTGGTTTCACTACACCTTTTTAGATCTCCGAGACGTTAACCTCTCCCCCTGTTATGAGAGACACAGATAAAATTAACATCCAAGGCTGGCAGCTGGATGACTCTCAGGGGCTGACCCAAAGAGCCTTTAACTTCAGGGAATAGCAGTGAGAGTCTTGCACACCTTACTGCTTCAGGCTGTGGGGTTTTGAAAGAGACTTACCATGCAGCTCATGCCCAGCGGGTCAGAAGACCATCCAAGTGGGAAAGGGACTATTTGAGCCTCTGGCCTGCCTGCCACACAATCGTAACCGTCACTTTCGGTTATCGTGGGAACAGAATATTTAATCCATTCCAACCAGGTATTTGCATCTTGGTATCTTGTCTAAACTACTAAAGTTTCTTTTAAATCTTTAACTTCTGCAATGTCTACTATGGCTTTGTCATTGGAGAGAATAACAGTTTGATTGAAAGAAGATACTGAAGGAGAAGGGAGGGAAGCGGGTGGAGGAGCAATGAAGTGCATCTCAAAAGATCCTATTGGGTCTACCCCTCCCACGTCAGCTCCTAAGCTGTAGAAGCCACCTGGAGTGGGGTTACTGTCAGTAGGGGTGGGGACAATGATAGAGATTTGCAAAGGATTACCATTGTTGAAGTTGGCAATAGGAGGGAGTTATTCCTCTGTAAAGTGGATGTAAGGTTTTGGGTCAATGCAGCTTCCTCCTGGGGAGGTCCAGCCTTGTTACTTGGTGGTCCAGATTACATCTCCCCAACCATAACAGAATTTCCACTGACTGCTTTGTGCTTTGCTGGTACAAGTGTCACTATTACAGGCAGTCTTGTTTATCTTAGAGGGGCAGAGGTACTTTTCGGAAGGGGCTATCTTTCTTTGGTTTTGGAGATCTCCACAGGGCATAACAAGACAAGCATCGAAAGCAATAATTTGAGGTAGGCTTGAACTAGTTACGTTACATGAATGACAAGCTGGCTAGCCACAGTGAAGAAAGGCTATAAAATAATATAGTAGGTATGGGAGGGTTAGGTGTTTTTTTTGTTTTGTTTTGTTTTGTTTTGTTTTAGCTTTAATCTGGTAGGACTTTCCCCTGGAATGATGGTCCATGACTCTGTAGGTAGTAATGTCTTCTTGGCCCGGGTATGATGAGTCTATCCTTTTTTTGCTGTTTGGACTGCAGCTCAGTGGTTAGGAGCACTAAGTAGCGTCCTTCCCAAGTTGGTTTGAGCTTTCCTCTCTCTAGCCTTTGATGAGAATGTGATCTCCGGCTGATGCTGATGTGCTGGGAGCTCCAGGGGTGGCGCCTATGCTAGGAGGCCTTTAGTTTTAAAAGAAAGTGGAAGATAGAGCAAGTATACCGTTTTTGAGGAACTGGTCTTTTGTTTCAAATGTGGGAATGTCAGCAGTGGAATGTAAATAAGGCAATCCATGTAGCGTTTCCTAAGGGGATAAATCAGCATCTTTCCAAGGGGCAGTTCTAATTCTCAACACAGCAATAGGAAGGCATTTAGTCCACAGCAACCAAGCCTCTAAGACTAATTTGATAAAGTGACTTTGTAGGGTTTGATTCATTCTGTTTACTCTTCCCGATGAGAGTGGGTACCAGGGAGTATGGTATTCACATGTCATGTCTAGTACTTGGGATAGTTTTTTAATGATATGTGCAGTGATATGGATTCCATTATCTGAACCAATATTTTTTATTAGTGCAAACCTTGGTACAGTATTTTCAATAAGTGCCTTCACCACATTATTAGCAGTCGCATTTGAAAAGGAAATAGCTTCTACCCAGTGAGTGAGGTGATCTACTATCACTAATAGGGATTTTAGGCAACTGATTAAAGGCATCTCCAGGTAATAAATTTGGACACTTTGGAACAGTCTTAGTCCTGGACTTTTTCCCCCAAAGGGTGATTTTTTTAGAGTTTGCTTATTAGAGCCCCAAGGAGGTGATTCTAACCACAGTGGCACTGGGTGATCTAGGAGGAGGAGGCTTGGGGTGGGGAATGCCAGAGATGGGGAGAGGAGGGACTGGGCAGGGAGGGTCTGAGTCAGAAATGAAGGAGGCATGTGAGAGAGACTGAGGAAGAAGGAATGGGGGTGGGAGGGAGGGAGAGAAGAAGAAAAGAAAGAAGCAACTAACGTTTTCTTACTTTCTTTCTTTCTTTTCAAGAGAGAGTCTCACTCTGTTGCCAAGGTTGGAGTACAGTGGCGTGATCTTGGCTCACTGCAACCTCCACCTCCGGAGGCTCAGGCATGATTCTCCTGCCTCAGCCACCCGAGTATCTGGGATCACAGGCATACACCACCACACCCAGATAATTTTTGTATTTTTAGTAGAGACGGGGTTTCCACACCTTGGCCAGGCTGGTCTCAAACTCCTGACCTCAAGTGATTTGCCCACCTTGGCCTTCCAAAGTGCTGGGATTACAGGTGTGAGCCACTACACCTGGCCGCAACTAACATTTTCTGAAGGTCCACAGGGGAACCAGCAGGCTGCCTTGACTACATTCTCACTCCCTAGCAACTTCCCATCCCCGCCAGTCTCAGCTACATGAGGAAAAGGCTTTTGGCTGACCCCACTGGGGGCAGGATGGGAATCTGTGAGGCTCCCTCTGAATTCTAGAATGTGTAAAAGTGTCTTGAGCTTGCTGCCTTCCAGGGCTTTCAAACAAGAAGCGGGACACATACCTTTCAACTCTGAGATCCCTGAACTTATTTAGAAGACCTAGGACCCTCGAATTTGTTCAGGAATAGGGCACGAGGCTGTTTTTAGGAGGCCCACATAAACATTTTGTGCACCAGCCCTTCTTTCTTTCTTCTCTTCCCCGCTGACCAGAGAGTTGTAATTCACTTAGAGATATGGGATAGGGGCAGGGAAGTGCTGGGTAGAGAAAGGCATGGTTCTTGGCTAGGGCTCCACCCCTGGGCCTGTGCCCATGGACCTAGGTGAGGACAGGCACTCCTGCCTTGGGGCCCAAATGTTGCATTTTCCAAGACCACCCTGGCTCACCACACCTCCATCCTGTGCTTATAAAAACCTGAAGACCCTAGGGGGCAGGAACACCAGTGGCTGGAAGTTGAAAGGAACAGAGTGGTAGAAGAGCGCACTGACAGGCACCAGCAGATGCTGGCAGGCCATCGACCAGTGGAGCAACGCGGAGTTTGGCTGGGGCAGTCGCAAGAGAGCCTGGCCAGGGGCAGCCCGGCTCCGGCAGAGAAACCACCCTCCCACTC